AGGAGGACCAGCAGTGCATTGGTTGCAGCTGTCTTGACATTAGAGATGGGGCTTCGTATTCGTACACTAATACAAAGCCCGCTGGTACCTGATGAACAGCCATCCCCAGAAACCGCTGGACCACTTACCGTGCAGCATGTGATACGCATGGCCAGCATCATTGTCTGTGTCCCAATTGTGGCTGGCACAGGATTGCCTCTCTGCTCGCCCAGCCATTCTGCGACTGAGCAGGGAGACCTGTTCTCCTGCCCCCTTGCCAGAGTGGTCAGGTTAGCGGGTGAGGGCTGTGGTACCTGGGCTATTGCTGCGACTGAGGCACAGGAGAAGATGCTGGGCATGCACGCTGTGCAGGGAGTGGTCCAACAGGTTCTGGGGGTGGGTGTTCATCAGGACAGCCACCTGTGCCACCAGAGCTCATATCTGCATATGAATATGAAGCCCCCGTCACTACTTGAAATCTTTTGGATATTAGTAGTATATAACACACTGAACATGGAAACACTATGGTCCATTATCTGTAATGTTATGTTGCAGTGGTTTCCAACCTTCGGTAACCTAGGGATTCTTGGACTGCAGCTCCCAAAAGCTTTCACCACTAGCTGCACTGGCTGCGGTTTCTGGGAGCTGCAGTCCAAGAGTACTTGTGTTATCCAAGGTTGGAAACCACTGCTATATCGGCAAAATATACATGGTTCATATTTCAAAAAATGGTTCATGTTTCAAAAATAGTTGGACCATCATTTGACACCAGTATTAAGGTGTACTTTCCAGTTTAATGTCCATGCAATTCAATTTCTACAGGTATTGTGGCATCACCCAACTCAACAGAACCTAACTCTAAAATGTTTTGTTAAACAGAAATAGGATATCTGTCTGAACTGTACTGTTTAATGGCAGATGGATAGTAAATAGTAATATGGAAAAATCCCTACAGATAGAAAACTAGATGGTAAGAAGAAAAGTAGCAGTCTAGTCCAGCCCAGAATTTCTGATTTTCTACATGTAAGAAGCCTCCCCCCTCCCAATAAGAGCAAATCTGTTTCCATTCTATAAGCATACAAGTTTGATTTTGTGCAGTTCAGTTCATCTGCTGTTTGTGGAGCTTGGAAAAAGGAAGTGGTGGCTGGAGATTCTGGAAGTTGAGTCCCCAAAAAAGTTACTTTCCAAGCTTCTGGCTCTTTGTGACATCTATGCCTAGCAGCAATAAGGAGAGAACAGGTTATATTTATACATTGTACAGCGTGCTTGGGACAAGTGGGCATCTGCAGTAGCAAGGATCTGA